GGCGGCAGAGCGGGCCGGGGGAGCAGCACCAGCCGCAGCGCTGGGGGAAGGCGGAAATCGGGCAGGAGCCCGAGCGGTGCCAGCTCGCAACACGCCGCAGGCACGACCACCCCCATGGGCGCCGGGGGCCCGGGGGGACACGGCTCTGCTGGCCTGGCTCCTGCCACCACGGCGTCTCTGCAGACGGTGAAGCTGCTGACAGCCCGGCGAGCCGCAGAGGTGTCAGCTCCGCTTGCCAAGCTGACTCTCCCCAAATCAAATTTCACTAGAGCTCTCTTTGATGATTCATCCCCAAACCAAGAGGCTTGCAGAAATAGACTGAACACGGAAGCCCCCACGCTAGCATGTACAACAGAGCTAAGACTTTGCGATAAATTAGACAATACTGTCAACATCGCGTGTGTACTACACATCGTCTCGGTGACAAAACAGGGCTCATTAGCTCCTTACCAGCGAGGGGAAGGATAACTTGCTTCGCCTTTTTTTTTTTGAATGTCTAAATCCAAAGTCTTGCTGGTTGTTTCTTTTAATCAATTATTAAATCTCAAATCAATAGCTACATAAGCGATCGCCAGTGAGGCGTTACCTGACTGACGGGGCAGCGCTCCCCAAACGAGACAGAACTGAAAGTGTACTCAAGCGCTACGCAGTGATGAGAATACGGAGTTAACCTGATGGACATGGCAATGGTTTAACGTGATGGCGTGTATTCCAACCAAAGCATGCCAGCACCATTCATTAAGAGTCAGGTTTCGTTTTCCAATGAACATGGCGTCGAATTATTTCAGGTAGAAGCTGTTCAAATTCCATCCCCATCCAAGGACCAAACCCACCCGCCCACACTGTGTTAAAAGTAAGAAAGAGCAGACTTGGAGGATGAAGCCGTCGGCGGGGAGAGAGCACCCGTGCACATGCAGCAGGCGCAGGCTGGCAGGCACCGGCGGCCACTACAGAGTCCACGGGAAAGCGGAGCGAGGGCAGGACGGGGAGGGAAGGTGCACAGTAACTCACCCACGGGGACGCAGGAGGACAAGAGGCCGTGCAGGAAGGTCGGAGTCCAACATGCACAAACACATTTTGACCCCCAGCCCTGTGAGACCAGAGACAGCGCAGCCCGCTGCAGACTCCCCCGCCGCCTGCACTGTGCCCCCCCGTGTCAAGCACTGCTCGCAGGGGGCTCCAGGGGCCACGCCGAGCCCCATCAGTGCCGCGTCACCCTTGTGTGTCCTGCTGTCCCTCTGGCAGCACAGGGCAGATGCCCTTCCAAAGGAGCCGGTGGCTTGTTCAGCAGTGCTTTGCAAGGCAAAGGGAAGGGCTGAGCCCCTTCGGAAGTCCCTTGTTCTACCCACAGGGGAGCAGTGGAGGTGGCTGGCCTGTCCGTGTGTCTAGGGAAGGCATCATAGAATCACAGAATGGTTTGGGTTGGAAGGGACCTTAAAGACCATCCAGTTCCAACCCCCCTGCCATGGGCAGGGACACCTTCCACTAGAACAGGTTGCTCCAAGCCTCATCCAGCCTGGCCTTGAACACTTCCAGGGATGGGGCATCCACAACATCTCTGGGCAACAAGGGATGAATGACAAGGAAAACTCCCCTGCAGATCAAACCACACAAGAGGGCGGGCAGGCTGCAGCCTCGCCGACCTCGACATGGGCCATGCCTGCTGCACACTGCCAGGAAGCTGTGTGGGGCCTTGGCTCTCAAGCCTGGTAACAGACGAGTGGTTAAACAAGGCCTCTGCTGCATATTTTCTGCAACCCAGAACGGCTAAGCCGGCCTCCCCTCGTTAGCACACCGGCAGAGCTGCTAAGATGGGCCCATTGCTGCGCGCCCGAGAGCAGCGGTGCCCAAGGCACTGCGGCTGCTAAAAACGGATGCCACGTGTAGGGGTCAGCTCTCAACACGGGAGGCAGGAGTGGGTCAGGGCAATGCCTTCGGTGGGAGATCTGGCCCAGACAATACTCTGGCAGGAGTGCGTGCAGAGGAAGGGACGGGCTCCATCCGCCTCCCGTCCTCTTGGGGGATAATTGGCAGCTTCTCGTCCCAGTCACTACGGAGGGAGAAGGGGAGATGCTGTCAGTTAGCATTAGCGAGAGCTGGCAGAGCTCTCACAGCAGCTTGCAGAGCACCATCAACACATTCCTCAGGCTCAAGCCAGCGATTTAAGTCGCTTGCTTTTCTAGCATAAAAGTCTGGTAATAATTTAAATCAGTATAACTCCTCTAAACCCAGCATTCTTAGAATTTCTGTCCAATTTACAAGTCAAATCATATGGGCTACCACAGCCCATGATGCTACCTTAAGTGCTCCAGAAATTTTTGTTGTTCTTCATTTATTGCAGCAATGAAACTTCCCTTTTTATTACCATTTTCTTGACAAGAATTTGCAATATTTTTTTTAATCATCTTTTTGGATAAAGATCAGAGAAGGTGGTTTGGAGGTTTTGCAAGAACAGCACAGGGAAAATTGCTGTGAATATTAAAATGATTTCAATGGACAATGGTATAATTCATAGGTTTAGTTAAACCAGCAGACTGTCAAAAATGAGATTCGTTGTCATTCATCTCAAGAATAGGCAACGTAAGGGCTCTGTAATGCTTCGCTATTCAGCACGCCTCCCCACAGAGAGCATTCCCTGGGAAGTGAAGTGAAACCCCGGAGCGGTGAGCAGTGCAGCGCAATCTGAGCCTGTGCCCTGGATCCCACAGGACAGGAAGAAAGGACAGCGTGGAGACTGGTTCCCACTCACTGGGGACACGGTGGGGAGGAAGGAGGGGAGCAGGCAACACAACAGCCACAAAGGTTGAGATTGAGAAACGTTAATAATTCAGCATGCATTAACGTGCACATTCCTCGCCTTGAGAGCAAAGAGCATGAATCGATTGCCCGGCTCCTTTCACCACAGGAGTGGCTGTTTCCAAACGTCTCAGGTTCCCTCTGAGGGTGACGTTACCCCCTTGGAGAACCAGGGAGCCCCCCTTCCCCTGCTGCTGTCTGCAAGAGCTGTAGGCTCGGCACGAGCGCTCAGGGCTCACAGGCCGGTGCTGTTAGCCCCGCTCTCGCATGCTGAGACACTGCCGGCATACAGCAACGCTCCGCTGGAAACACAACAGTGA